AAAATCTGAAAAAATGTTATCAAAATTCATATTTTTTATATGGAAGAAAAACACTCGGTTTTTCAATAAAATTAGCTTCTTTTTATTATATTTAATATCTCAGAGATTTTGAGCTATACTCATTTAATCCAGGATGAAAAACCGCACCAAATGAGTACAGTTCGGAATTCCTAATGTAGTAAAAATAATAAAAAGAAGCTAATTTTATTGAAAAACCGAGTGTTTTTCTTCCATATAAAAAAATACGAATTTTGATAACATTTTTTCAGATTTTCCAAGTCGACTTTTGAATTTTTCATTGCAAAAAAATGACTTAAGAATTTTGTAATATATACAGTTTGGTAGAACTCAAAAAGCTCTATCGAACTATGTGAAAATATTCAAGAAAAAAAAAATTTATTCTGTTTTTGAATTACTGACATCTTAATTTTCCGGCCCTCCCAGAAAAGTATAAAATATTTCTGAGAATTTTTTGAATGCAACATTAAAAACTTTTCATAATCTTTATTATGTAGTACCAATAAGCTCCATTTTTGACGGGCTTTCATTTGATATAAAATTCATTATGTCTTCTATTTGAAATCATATCGGTACCTCCCTCGAATAATATTATTACCTACCCTTTACTATAGCTCTGTACTAAGGCATGGAGCTACTCTCTATGCTCTTTAAAGAACTGATGTATTTTTTTTTGAAGTTGAGAATTCATGTAACAATTTGGAAATCTATCATTTTATGCAAAAAAAAGATATCTGAATGTCGATATTAAATAATTCATATGAACCTATGGTCCAACATAGTGGATTGATTGAAAGATTGCCAACAGAAATCTTGCATCAAATTTTCGATTATATCGATGCAGAAACAATTTTATTATCGATTCGACGTGTATGCCGACAATGGATGGCATGGACCAATACATACAATCGATACGGTCTTAATTTGAACTCAATATCAAAACAGAATTTCACTCTTATTTGTCGTTTAATACAGCCAGAAAATGTCATTTCATTGACATTTGCTGACAATAATCAACAAGCAGATCAAATTGATTTATTTCTATCATTGGTTGATACACAACGGTTCACACGACTTCGTTCATTAATATTTCTTGGTATTGATGACATTAAATTTCATGCTTTTACCAATAGTACCAAACTTGCTTCACTTCAGACTTTTGCAATTAAAATTTTAAAATATGATCGACGTCGATCGAAGACAAGCACTAAGATTTTAACAAGAATTTGTTCACAAGTTAATATTCGTAAACTTGATTTGAATGTTCCAAATGTATATTGGAAAAATTTGAATTGGCCAACTCATTGTTCAATTAAAGAATTAAAAGTTCATCAATCGATATTTTTTAATTATTTATGTCAAATATTACAATATAGTTCACAATTAGAAACATTAATTTTATCCATTAGTTTATATTATTTGCTTTCAGGAGTCGTGCTGAATTCGACTCTTACACCCTTATTTAGACAATTAACTTCATTAACATTTGAATTCTGTGATATTGATATGAATAGAGTAGAATCGTTTGTTAAACTTATGCCATCACTCGTTCACTTCAAAATATCCAATAGAAATTGTGATTCGAATTTCCTTGATGGTTCTCGTTGGGAACGATTTATCGAGAAAAACTTATTGTATTTGAATAAATTCGAATTTTTCTTCATCCACCGATTTAACAATCAAGTCTCTTCGAATGAGATGGAACGTGTAATAACACCATATCGTTCACCTTTTTGGACAGATACTAAAAAGTGGTTTGTTTTTATTGAACATGTCGTTCATGATCCAACAGTAATTCGTTTATTTACAACACCAATCGATCAACCAAATTATGAACACGAGAAAGATCCACAAAAAACTTATTTATCAAATATAGTGGAAAAAGAGCGAAGCTATATGCTGATCATGGATACGGTCAGTACATTTATATTAGCACTCAATGAAGAATTAGCCAACTATTTCAAACAAGATGTAAGAATAATACTTACATAAGAGGATACTTTGCTCATTTCAGTATTTATTTTTAGTTATCATCATTCGACAAACCATCATACTCGAAAGTTACTAAATTGTTTATTGATCTTCCCCGTAGTGGTGTTGTCATCGAACCAGACAATATCTCTATGTTGATCGACTTTTCAAAAGTTATCGAGATCGAATTACGCTGGATTTCATTTCGTGATTATGATCAAAACGTGTGGATGAATCTATCACAATTGATTTCGATGGCTGTTAATCTTTCATCTTTGATTATCTCAGGTTCTTTGTATTTCTTAAAAGAGACAATTAATATTGAATATTTATTATATATAATACCATCAAGAATTAAACATTTAAGAATATCAATAAATAACTTGGATCTTTGGGAAGCGATCATTGAAAAATGTTGTAATTTAGTATGGGTCGATATGGAATTCAATAGAAAATCATTACGAAGACAATTCGTAGCTTGGTGCAATGAGAATATGAGGAACTCAACTTATAAAATATGGAGAAGAAAAGTTTGTGTTTGGCTCGGAATAAAAAAGAAAGAAGAACCATATAGAATGGAAACTCGACGTAAACGTATCAAACTGAGTAACGATTAAAACGAAAAGCAAGTTTAATTCTTTGTTTCCTCTTCGTGTAAACCAATATTAGAGAATAAAGTGTTTTTTTTTACATGAATTCAGTCGTCTACATAAAAAAAATGCATTTCAAGAGACGGAAGAAGAACAATTTTCGATATTCATTTCATTTTCAGGTTATTGCATTGTAATTTTTCGTTATGATGAGTGTTTTTATCTTTTGTGTTCGCCATGCAACAATGA